TAGTAACTGTTGTGTGAATATTCTTCATTCTACAGATGCAGAAATAGGACTTCAGATAACTTTTTTTGATCTGTGCTAGGTCATATAGCTAGTCACAGAGCCAGGTCCTTGGAATTCAAATCCCATTTTGTTCTTTATTACCCTTTGCAGAGCAATAAACATAACGCAAAGATATAGTTAGACAGGGGATCCCTGGGTGGTGCAGCGGTTTGGCGCCTGCCTTTGGCCCAGGGTGCGATCCTGGAGACCCGGGATCGAATCCCACATCAGGCTCCCGGTGCATGGAGCCTGCTTCTCCCTCTGCCTATGTCTCTGCCTCTCTCTCTCTCTCTCTCTCTCTCTCTCTCTCTGTGACTATCATAAATAAATAAAAATAAAAAAAAAGATATAGTTAGACATACTGTATTTTTCACCTTTCCTTGAAACTCTTCTTCAGGCATCTGATTTATGTAGTTTTTTCTTTTTTTTACTTTGGGGGAGAAAGAGTCCAAATCTGAGACTGCTTTAGACCTCAGTGACAAACAGTTTGCCATTTAGTCAAGCAGGTTAAAAATTAAATCAAGGATCAATTAAAAGTCACTGTTTCAGGGCACCTGGGTGGCTCAGTCGGTTAAGTGTCTGTCTTCTACTCAATTCATAATCTCAGGGGCCTGAGACTGAGCCCCACATTGGGCTACTTGATCAGTGGGGAGCCTGTTTCTCTCTCTCCCTCTGTCTGCCACTCCTATTTGTGGTCTCTCTCCCTCTCTCTCTCTCTGTTATATAAATAAATAAAATCTTAAAACACACACACACACACACACACACACACACACACACACACAAGTGAATTTCTGCCCTTGTCTCTCATGTGTGTTTGAGGTGGTAGTATTAAACCCATTTAAACTATGGGGATTAACATAACAGAAATAGCTAACATTCACTATTCATGTTGTAATTAGGCAAGTGACTTAAGTATCTCTGTCTCCAGATTTCTTGTTTTTGCTTTTGCTCAGTTGTGCTTCTTTTGTCTACTATTGGGAATCTGAGTAGCTCCTTTTGTCATTCACTATCTGGGGTGACCTGAGGTAAGTCCTATAGCTCCCTGAGTCTCAGTTTCATTATCTGAAAACTGGGGATAATAATAATACCTAACTCACAGGCTTATTGTAAGGATTAAATGAGTTAGTACCAGCAAAGAGCACAATGCTTGACTCCCAGAGTCAGTAAATATTAGTTGCTCTTTAGTCTAAACATGGAGTGAACCAGGAATTAACATTACTCTTTTATTCACACAGAGGGGAGTGTTAACCAGCTTGTCTTAATAGTCTCTCTCTCTCTTTTAAAATAATTTTTTATGCTTTAAAAAAATCTCCATACCAGTTATGTTTTTCTTATCATCCTTACTATCTGTGTCTTCTCCTTTTGTTCCTGAATTAGTTTTGCCAAAGTGTTTCCTACTTCCTTGACATTTCAAAGAATCACCTTTTGGTTGTTATAGGTCAATTTCAGCCTTTAAAAGAAATTCCCTATTGCATGAATTTTTGCCTTTATATTTTAGAATTGTATTTGAATTTGTTAATCATAGTAGAATTTACATCCATTTAAAAAACAGAGTTATGTCTAGGATTGATTATATTTTGATCTGTAATACTTGGTGCATATAAGGGCCATGGACCCCTGGAAGGGATTCTGTACTCATCTTTACATCCTTCTACTTTCTTTAGATTGCAACTTTTTGAAATCAACTTTTTCAAGTTTCCTGAGTTAAGAACTTGGTTTATCTGTTTTTACATTTTGTGTATTCTGCTAACTGCATTTAATGCAATAAACTATCCTCCAAACATGGCTTTGGCCATATCCCATAATTGCAAAAGCCACAAATATAGCAAAGCACCTTTACTCACACAGTAGAAAGATTTTATTCATAGTTTCCTTCTGTTATTATTTACTGCCATCATTTGGCATTCAATGGTTACTTCCTATGAGGTAGGACTAGGAGAGTAAAGGTAATACTAAGGAGTCACTTTGGTCAGGGAGCTTACGATTTCAGTTTACATGCTGAAAACAAAAATCAGATGAATTCTGAGGGCTGTAGAGGTTTTCAACCATAATCTTTCTCACTTTCCAGCCTAAGATTTTCACCTGTCAATCTACATTTAGCATAAATTTGGAGAAGAGGGAATAAGTGAAAGGGGATAAAAATTCACGTTCAACCGTAGGTTGATAAAGTTAGCAATGGCCATGGTCTATATCTATTAACTGGGTTTATTACTGGACTTTAATTCTAATGTCTGAGAGAGTTGATAATAAGTGTTTTTGGAAGACTCTATACATAATCTGTGATACAGGCTTGGGTTCTAACTCTGGGTCTATGAAATTTGATGAAAAAGTAGATATACCCATAATCTATATACTTAATTTTTGACATAAATGTATATTTATATATTATTTTCACTGAAGCCTAACTGTAAGTTAACATTTCTTCCATTATGAATGTAGTCAGCAAACCACAGTAATATTAGCAACCTGTGGCTTCACCCCCAAGAGAAATCATACATATTTTCTACCACATGAAAGTTGTTGCAGACATCTAAAATATTATGTGCATCACTGCTGCAAAATTACTGTAAGTCTTGACCTTGTTATTTAATACATTAATAAAGATACAAATATATATCTGTTATCTCTGTGTAATAAATTACCCACCTCCCCCAGATCAGGGACTTAAATAAGAAATACTTATTATTTCACATCTCTGTGGCTCAGGAGTCTGGCATGGTTTAGCTGGGTCTGTGGCTCAGGATTCTTTCCCAGGTTGCAGTCAGAGTGTCAGCTAGGGCTGTAGTTACCTCCAGGTTCACCTGGGAGAGAATCTGCTTCCAAGCTTGCTTAAGTTGTTGGCAGTTCTTCATGGGTTGTTGGACTGAGTGTCTCAATTCTTTGGTGTCTGCTGACCAAAGATCTCTCTCAGTTCCCTGCCAAGCAAGCCTCTCCATAAGATAGGTCACACCACGGCAAGCTGGTCACCAACCAGAGTGAGCTAGGGAGAGAGCAAGAGAGGATACAAGATGGAAGCCAGATTCTTTTTGTAGCTTAATGGTGAGACGTGATATCCCATTAGTTTTGCGGTATTTTCTTTTTCAAAACCAGTCATTAGATTCTCAATAGGAGGGGGTTGCACAAGACAGAAATGAGGATCATTGTGAGTCATCTTAGAAGTTGCCTATCACATATCACAAATTCACTTTGTAGTATTTTGATAACTGTGTGTCAAAAAAATAAATTTCCTTTGTAGCCCTAGATAGTTTATTTTATGCATTTAAGAACAATATTCTGAGAAAGGTCCTTAGATTTCACCAGGCTTCTAGAAGGCCACATGGCTCTAATTTATTTCATATTAGGCATATTCAACAACTTCCTGTGGGAACTTTTTTAGAATAGCCTCAGTTTAGAAACTGGAGGTCAAAGCTTTAGCCTTCATAGAGTCCTATTCTGATACCCTAGATCAGTCCGTATTACTCCAGTGCTGTGAAAAATATATGGTGTATGTGAAATCATTATTTGCTATAGAACACTCCATAAACTGTTCTCCATTCTACTCACTTGAATTAATTATATGTATGTGTGTGGCGGGGGGAGAGAGGTGTACAGGCCTCTGTCAATCATGTTTGATCACAATTGTGTCACTTGTGTTTCTTTTTTTTTTTTTAAGGGTTTTATTTATTCACGAGAGACACACAGATACAGGCAGAGACATAGGCAGAGGGAGAAACCCTGCAGGGAGCTGGATGGGGGACTCCATCCCAGGATCAGGCCCTGAGTCAAAGGCAGACACTCAACCACTGAGCCTACCAGGTGACCCTTATGTAGCAATTGTTATTTGAGTCTCAAAAGGACCATACGATATTGGGGGAACTGATTTCCTCAATAATTCACTAATTACCAAAGCAGTGCTCTTTCTGTTACCATCTATATATGAGAAAGCATAGGGTGTAAAAAAAAAAAAAAAAAAAAGAGAGGAGTGATGTCATGATGCCTCCCTAAGTCTTTTCCATCTATCACTTCCTCTTGGTGAAACTAAAGATAATTATATTCTCTGTAAGCATAATAACAGCTTCATATATTGTCTTAGAAGACTCTAGAAGGCAGGGGTATAACCCCTCCAGTATTTAGATCAAAGATAAGTCTGTTGACAATAATTGGGAACGATTCTCTTATTTGGTTTGTCCAGGAACTTTTCCCTCCAACGCATCATCTTGGCAAAAGCCACCCCTTTTGAGTCAAACCACAGGGATTTCCTTTCTATTTCTCAGATCCTACATCAAGCAGCCCAGTACTGCTGGTTATTTTATATTTCCCAAGATAAGCCAAGCAAGTTCTTCGTATATGCCTCCAAGTTTTGGTGGCTTTTCCAAATTCGAATCCCTTTCAAGTCTTCGCCGTGGAGTCATGGTTGAGATGGAAAATGGGCAAAAAGCCCGAAGTGGTTTCTAGATCCCACAGCTACTGACTGGGCGAGTTGGCCAGCCAATCCATCTTTGCTGACCACCTTTTCCTAATTTGCAAAACGTGCGTTTTCGTGTGTGTGTTGTGGTTGATCTCTAAACGCCTTTCCATTTCTAACATTTTTTTGCATCATATTGTGAAGTCCGGAGAAAAACTCCATCACTTAGGACACGTGGCTAGTACGGCAACACACTGGGCGCTCTCACGCGAGGCCTGAACCAGCTTTACGTAACGAGGGTAGTTGCCCCCGTCCGGCCAACTCCACCACGCGGACCTCCGGGAGTTCGCCCTGGGCAGGCGGGGCTGGGGGCGGGGCGCAGAGGAGCCCGCGTTGACGACACAAGACTACTTCCGGCTGTGGTGCGTATGACGTCAGAGCCGAGGCTGACCGGCCCAGCCACCGAGAAGCCGCGGAGGGAGGGCTCGCGAGAGTTCAGGAAGGCCGCCCCGAGATTCCGGCGCGGCCGCGGGCGCCACCTCCCGGGGGCGGGGCGAGGGCGGAGCGGGCAAAAGGGAGCGGACGGGCCCGGGACCGGCTGCGGTCCGTGCGAGGCTGAGCCGGCCGCGGGCGCGACCGGAGGCAGGTGAGTACGCGGATGCGGCGCGCGGCGGCCGCGCTGGGGGGGCCCGCTCGGCGCGCCGGCCGCAACTCTGCGAGCAGGGGCCGGAGGGGACGTGAGGCGTCTTTGGGCGTCCAGGGACAGCCGGGTGATGCCGGGGCTGGCGGCGGCTCCAGGGACGCCCCGGCGACGGCCTTGGCCCTCCTGTTCCCCGAGGTGCTGCTCGCCCCGCGCGCCCCGGACAGGTCGCCCCGAGCCCGGGGAGGGATCTTCGTGCCTCCCTGCCCCTGTCGCCCTCCGCTGCTCGGCCCCGGAGCACCCCGACCCCGGTCCCTGCCTGGGCTTCGTAAACAATAACAGACGTCGCGGCAGCGCTCCTGGTGCCCCCCGCGCGCCCGTCGCGTGCCCCGCAGCCGATGTCACCGAGGCGGAGGATTCGAGGCAGGGCTCCCATTGTGGGGGCTGCTTGTGCACCGTTCCCAAAAACTGATGCGTCAGATGCTAAACAGTTCTCGGATCCACACGGTGGAGCCTCCAGGCTCCCAGGAGCGCGGAGCGCGCAACCCCGGTCGCAGAATCTGTCCCTACCCCCTGGCACCGGAGACGCTCTCTCTTCCAACATCATTTTCTCCCACTCCACCCCCCCCTTATTTATTTATTTATTTATTTGTTTGTTTGTTTATTTATTTATTTATTTACTTACTTATTTTCGCCTCATTACTGTCGGGGGCAAACGAGTGCTTGTTTGCTAAGGGACTAGGCGAAGGTTGTACCCGATGGAGAAGGAGACGCTTCGCCCTTAGAAAGTTACCAGGTTGACAGCCAGAGAACAAACTTTATTTTCCAAACCAGCGGCCTCCCGTTTACCGATGCGGCTTTTTTTGTTTTTGTTTTGTTTTGTTTTGTTTTGTGGGATCGCTTTTTCGGGTTGCAAGTTTGGAGGAAGGATATAAAAGGGAACGGGGGAGGGGGGCGGGGAGAGCTGGAGGTGCTGGAAGCGGGTGGCTTGTCCAAAGACTGTGATGCTGTTGTTCTCGCTTGGTAAAATGCAGAAGCAACGCTCTTGTCTGTTTCACATAACTTGTGATAAGTTTTGATAGAAGCCAGTTGCTCTGAAAAAGGCCTCAGTATTAGCTGTCTTACTGCTAAAGTCTGAGGAAACAACGCTTAGTGTTTTGATTTATGCCTCTTGGTTGTAAGATGGGAGTGAAAGCTTGTCTTTCAGGGGGTGGGCCTGGGGTGGGGACTTACCACTTGTCAGGTCTCCCTACTTTAAGGCAGGATCTATTGTTGCTTAAGCCCAATTTTAGTTACCCAGAGCAGATTTTTTTTTTTTTTTTTTTTTTTTTTTGGTCTCAGTCGTATATCTATATAAGGTCCTGGGAACCTCTTGTGTTTGATTGACTTTTCTTTGTATGCCTCAGGATATATAAAACAATTAAGTTTACTGTACTCTACCCAGTAGCTGAAAGGTATTATATGTGAGTGAGCCACTATTGTGACTATTTGAGGAAGAGAAATTAGTTCAAAATATGATGTTGAGATTACATTTGTTCATTGCGTAGGTTCATCAAAATACTTTTGTGTGAAAAATCCTGATCTCAAAAAGTAAAGATTTTTTTTTTTTTTTTTTTTAGTTTGATGTGGCTTAGCTTTGTATTTTTCTCTGGTTAAGATGGTTGATAATGTTTTCCATTTGGCTGTGGCTGTGTTTAGGATGAGACATAAATTGGGTGTAGTTTTTGTACTCCTTTGAAAGGCCCTGCCACTGAGGAATGAAAAAAAAATAACTTAGAAAAGCCACATGAAATGAATGCAGTTCTTTTTTCAGCCTTCTGTTTTTTAGTTTGTTTGAGTCAAAGAATAGAGACTAGGAATATTTGTGCATATGAATGAGTCAAAGAATAGAGACTAGGAATATTTGTGCATATGAATAGGTGTCCTCAGCAGTTTTTATGCTGAAAAAGGTAGGACCTATAAAAAAAAAAAAGGAAAATTTGTAGAAAATGGTAACAAAGCAAGGCACTCAATTCAGCCATTTGTTTTTAGAAAAGTTTGTTCTCTCAAAGTAAGGGCAACATTACTGTGTGAACAAAGTTGGACAATACTTTAGAAAGTGCTTCCCCAGTGATCCAGAATAAGTTGGATGCTTGTTTGGTGTGTGTGTGTGTGTGTGTGTGTGTGTGTGTGTGTGGCACTTTTTTAAAGAGGGAAAAGGGCACAAATCAGAGCCAGAAAGATTTGCATCTCAATGTAATATTAAAATGATTTTATTTTACATAAATAGTGTAGGGTGAATCAAGCAAGCATATTGTCTTTTAGCATCCCCAGGATTACATTAAAATCAGCAGATGGGCAAGTTATGATTAGGTTAGACTTGACATATGCAGAAATTATGCTACTGTATTTTTATATTAAAAGTACCAGGGGCTTTTTTAAAATGAAATAATGCACATAAGCTTTTAGGGCATAAGACATTTTTAAGAAGTAAGTTTAAAAAATATCCTTAGCACTTTAAACATATTAAATTAATCCTTCGTTCCTCCTTCCCTCTCCCCACAAAATTTAAGTCTTTTTTTTTTTTTTTCCCATTTAAGTCTTAAGAGAATGTTTAGCAAGGTAAGAACAGTATTTAAGTGCAATGATTACATAAAGCACTTGTCTCCAGGTCAAGGTTTGCTAATTGACAGGGTATGATTGTTCAGAACCTTTAGAAAGAGGGAAAAGAAGGACAACAGTGAACAATATTTGCTGTCTGGTGCACTCAGACGAGCTGTAGTCTCTATCTTTAGAGAGATACAATCTAATGGGAGAGAAATGTACCCAAATAACTGTAATACACATGCATTTTGTGGAGAAGCCTAGGAGAGGGATTAAATTCCACTTAGATCAGTTAAGGAAGGTTTTGAGTAGGGAAAGGTATTCGTGTAAATGATTTGGCTGATGTAGTTGTAATCATCACGATAAGTAAACACTATATAATGCCGATTGCTGCTAAAATCTTACATGTACTAATTTACATGGGTTTAATTCTTTTTTTTTTTTTAGATTTTATTTACTTATTCATGAGAAACAGAGAGTGTCAGAGACACAGGCAGAAACAGGCTCCATGCAGGGAGCCTGACGTGGGACTCAATCCTGGGACTCCAGGGTCACGCCCTGGGCTGAAGGCAGGCGCTAAACTGCTGAGCCACCTAGGGATCCCTACATGGGCTTAATTCTTATAACCACCATATGGAGTAGGTATTTGTTATTCCCATTTTGCAGTCAGGGTAACTGAGGTACTAAACCAGATAACTAGAAAATGACAGCACGAGGGCTCCAACGCAAGCATCTGGTTTATACCTGGTGCTTGTGCTTAATCTCTGTCCTTGTTTTCTCTTCCATTCTCGATAATCTTTCTCAGGTCTTTTTCAAAAAATTGATTTAGGAAAATACATTTCTCTGGCACATAGATTTAAAACTTCCTTTTCTAGAAAGGGCTTCAAAATGAAGAAAACCCAGGTAAATAAGTTATTTTTGGAATGCTAGGTAATCCATTTCAAAAAGCTGCTCTTGGTGCAAATTAAATGTAACCATTGAGTGGGACTTTTGATAAATATGATTTATCACTTAGTAGCATACCCATAAGGATTTAGAAATGAGAAATTGTAACTATATTAACTCCTTTGCCTAATGGAATGTTTGAATCATTGTATATTTTGGCTTGTAATTTAAAAAAATCACTTGGCACTGAGTATTTTTTGGATTGAATTGTGAAGTTGGAATTCAGTTAATGATTGATAGTCTCAGCCCTTTTAGTTTTTATTTCCACAAACAGCTAAATATATTATGCCTGAATCAGGTTTTTGTTTGTTTGTTTTTTAAATTTTTTACTTTTAAGCAATCTCTGTGCCTAGGGTAGGGCTTGAACCCAAAACTCCAAGATCAAGATTTGCATGCTCTAACAACTCAAGCCAGCCAGGTGTCCCATGAATCAGGATTTTGAATAGAGGGTTGTACATATATAAAATGAGAGAAGTTCAATCACTGATACTTTATGTTAGTTAGGGCAACTTTGAAAGCTCTTTGGAATTGTAAAATAAAAGGTGCCATAGAAATGCACTGTGCTGGGGCACCTGGGCGGCTTAGTGGTTGAGCACAAGTCCCTCATCAGGCTCCCTTTCTCCCTCTGCCTGTGTCTCTGCCTCTTTCTGTGTCTCTTATGAATAAATAAATAAAATCTTAAAAAAAGAAATGTGCTGTGCCTAGTATATAGGCCTACTCAGTAACTAACTGCTTCTTTGTTGAATGAATGGTCAAATGATTTTATTAATGAAGTTTCAAGAATGTTTCACATTTGTTACTGGTTATCAAAGTATTGGGATCATAGTAAACTCAATTAGATACAAAGTTTAGGGGAAAAAAAGTATATCTCAGCAGTGGTTAGGGGTACTCTCTACCAAGATGCAGACACTTCAGCTCCTTTGTCTGTGTCCTGATTGACCAAACTCACAATAGAGTTCTAGAGGCGTATTTTCTAAGATTGAATATAGTAAGTGTTCTCTCCATGTCTGAGTTGGGTGGATTGTAGAAAACCCCCACAGTAGGATAATTTATAGTTGATAAGCTTAAAACGTAATAGGAAAAGTAGAAGAACTAAAGCCAGAATTTAAAGCTCATCTATTATTGTAATTAGACAAAAGTGGCAAAACAAGTTTAAATATATATATGTATATGTGTGTGTGTGTGTGTGTATTTTTACACAGCTTAAATTAATAGTAATGGCATAGTATTTCCATTTACCACCATTTGATTGACAACATTTTTAGTATCTTCAGCCTATAATTTCATGCAGATACTTTTAAAATTTTTTCTTGAAATTAAAATAATTTTTTAAAGACTTTATTTGCGAGAGAGAGAGAATGCGTGAGAATGCAGGGGGGGGGCACAGAGAGAGGGAGAGAGAATCTTAAGCAGACTCTGCACCCAATGTGGAGCCTGACTCAGGGCTCCATCTCCAACCCTGAGATGACCTGAGCCGA